AAGAAGGAGAGGACAACGCTTGTCATTCCCAACGGCTCTACACCTATCTCCAGCGATCTGTGCAACGTGGTTGTGGCCAAGAAAACTTTGGCCGTGCCCAAGAGAGCCTTGGAGGCCTTGCAGAGATGCCGAGGTGCCCCCTGGCGGCGATAATTATTGATATATTCGAATAATTTGACAAATTTGTTGCTGTGCGTTTTCCGGGCTGTCTGGCTATGTCCCAGCAGCATTCTCTCCTGACGTTTCTCCCACATCTATGGCAGGCATCCTCAAAGGTTGTGAGGTCTGTTGGAAACTAAGCAAGTAGGGTTTATGACATCATTCCACAGGTATATCAACCCCACTCGCTTCGTTTCCAACAAACTTCACAACCTCGGAGGATGCCTGCAATAGATGTGGGAGAAATGTCGGGAGAGAATGCTTCTGGAACATGGTAAGACAGCATCATGTAAGCTGCCCCGAGTCCCTTTTGGGGAGATGGTGGCGGGGCATAAATAAAGTTTCATTATATTATTATTATTATTATTATTATTATTGACCCAAAAGCACAGTATGTCACAGCAAACGAGATCTATATGCTGTATTTCATATCACAAAATCACAAGTTGAACACTTCCCAAGCGTCTACGACTGTGTGATTAATAATAATAATATACAATCCTCGAGTAGGAAGGATTATATTATAATTTGAAGGATTATATAATAATAATAAATACTACTACTACTAATCATAATATACAATAACTGCCTTAGGAAGAACGTATTGACATTTTAATGCCAAAAGAACAACTTGTTAACGGTAAGAGCTATTTGAATGTGGAATATGAATATGGTGGAGCCTCCTTCTTGAGAGGTTTTCAAACAGAGGCTGGGTGGCCATCTGTCGGGAAGGCTTTGGTTGTGTCTCCCCTTGCATGGCAGAATGGGGTTGGACTGGATGACCTTTGTGGCCCCTTCCAACTCTTAAGACTCAGAATATATTGGGTGGCCCCTTCTCTGGAAGTTTTTAAGCAGAGGCTGGATGGCCATCTGTTGGAAGGGCCTTGGTTGTGTCTCCTTGGAGGGCAGAATGGGGTTGCACTAGATGGCCTTTGGGGTCTCTTCCAAGTCTAAGCGTCTATGATCCAGAGGCATGATGGCCATCTGTCGGGAGGGCTTTGGTTGTATCTCCCCTTGCATGGCAGAATGGGGTTGGACTGGATGGCCTTCGTGACCCCTTCCAACTTATAATTCAGAATATATTGGACTCTCCTTCTCTGGAGGTTTTTAAGCAGAGGTTGGATGGCCATCTGTCGGGAGGGCTTTGTGTGTGCTTTTCCGACATGGCAGAATGGGGTTGGACTAGATGACCTTTGTGACCCCTTCCAACTCTTATAATTCAGAATATATTGGACTCTCCTTCTCTGAAAGTTTTTAAGCTTAGGCCGGATGGCCATCTGCCAGGAGGGCTTTGCCTCTGTCTCCCCTTGCATGGCAGAATGGGGTTGGACTGGATGGCCTTTGTGGCCCCTTCCAAGGGCCCTTCCACACAGTCATATATCCCAGAATGTCAAGGCGGAAATGGGGAGTCTCGCCCAACTCGCCCATTGTTATTGTGTTGTGTTTACTGCAATTTTATATTGTTATGTATTCATATGTTTTATGTAATTATGATGTTGTTGTTTATTGTTTGCATTTTTGGTTTCTCTTTATTGCAACTATTGTTTGGGCTTGGCCTCATGTAAGCCGCTCCGAGTCCCCATCGGGGAGATGGTGGTGGGATAATAAATAAATTATTATTATTATTATTATTATTATTATTAATAGACAGAAGCCGGAGCGAAAGAGCAAATTTTTTCCAAAAGAGGTTTATTTTGAAACGTTTTTGCTTCCAAGCAAAGCGTTTGATGAAGCCGACGTCGAGCGAGGAGGCTGCGAAGGCGAGGAAGGCGAGCACGTTTCTCCTGACGGGGAATCGGGAGGATGTTTACGAGCCCCGTCTTTCATTTGAAGCGTGCGCTGCGTCGCCGAAGCTTTGCAAGAAAAGAAATAAATAGTCCTCTCCCTTCTGCAAATCCTTCAGGTATTTTGGGGGGTCTTCTTCGTCCCCAAAAGTGCCCCCCAAAAGCCCCAAACCCTTAGCATCCTAATGGGCATCCGCATCCGCAGGAATCACCATATGCGCAATTCACAGGGACCACGACGGAGAAATATTTACTTTTGCTGGTTGCAGGAAGGGGACTTGGGACAAAAAAAAAGATATTTACCGTATATAACAGTGTATAAGTCTAGAAATATTAGGTAAACGTATCAGCCCCCCAAAACTGACTTATCGGTGGGTAAATACTATGCGGTACGGCTTATCTAACATCTAAGAAGGGAATTACCGTTTATTTTGGTGTATGTCTCGAAATGACTTATCTATATATCATTATCAAAACTCTTGGCCCCCAAATCTGCCTTGTACACAAATATATATGGTAATTTACTCCTCGATTATCTATGGGTCCTATCATAGATAATCTTGGCCCCCAAATCTGCCCTCGACTCATACAGAAAGTTGCCTTATACATGGATATATATGGTAGTTTACTCATCGATATTGACAGGTCCTATCAAAATCCATAATCTTTGCCCTTTAAGTTGTCTTATACACGAGGTCGACTTATACACAAATAAATCAACTACTCAATTTATCTGCCTTCAACTTATACACGAGGTCGACTTATACACAAATATATATGGTAATCCACTCCTCAATTTACCCTTGACTTATACACAAGGCCGACTTATACATTAATATATATTGTAGTCCACGCCTCAATTTATCTGCCCTTGACTTATACACGAGGTTGACTTATACATTTATATATATGGTAATCCACTCCTCAATTTATCTGGCCTTGACTTATAAACAAGGTTGGCTTATACACAAATATATATGGTAATACATTCCTCAACTTACCTGCCCTTGACTTATACACGAGGTTGGCTTCTACACAAATATATACGGTAATCCACTCCTCAATTGATCAATGAGTCCTATCAACTTGGTTCCTAAACCAGCCCTCGATTTATAGACGAGGTTGACTTATACACTAATATATACGGTAATCTGCTCCTCAATTTATCTGCCCTTGACTTATAGATGAGGTTGGCTTAAACACTAATATATACGGTAATCCACTCCTCAATTTATCTGCCCTTGACTTATACACGAGGTCGGCTTATACACTAATATATACGGTAATCCACTCAATTTATCTGCCCTTGACTTATGCACGAGGTCGGCTTATACACTAATATATATGGTAACCCACTCCTCA